ACAAACCGATATCCTAACCTTACCCCACACCGATACTCTAACTAACCTCAAACCGATATCCTAACCTTACCACACACCGATACTCTAACTCACCACACACCGATACTCTAACTAACCACAAACCGATATCCTAACCTTACCACACACCGATACTCTAACTAACCGCACACTGGTACCCTAACTCACCATATCCTAACTCACCACACACCGATATCCTAACTAACCACACACCGATCCTCTAACTAACCACACACCGATATCCTAACTCTCCATACACCGATACTCTAACTAACCACACGCCGATATCCTAACTCACCATACACCGATACTCTATCTAACCACACACCGATATCCTAACTCCCCACACACCGATACTCTAACTCACCACACATCGATACCCTGACTCACCACACACCGATACTCTAACTCACCACACCCCGATACCCTAACTCACCACACACCGATCCCCTAACTCCCCACACACCGATACTCTAACTCACCACACATCGATACCCTGACTCACCACACACCGATACTCTAACAAACCACAAACCGATATCCTAACCTTACCACACACCGATACTCTAACTAACCAACCACCGATACCCTAACTCACCACACACAGATACTCTAACTAACCGCACACTGGTAACCTAACTCACCACACACCGATACCCTATCTCACCACACACCGATACTCTAACTAACCTCACACTGTTACCATAACTCACCACACACCGATACCCTATCTCACCACACACCGATACTCTAACTAACCACAAACCGATATCCTAACCTTACCACACACCGATACTCTAACTAACCTCACACTGTTACCATAACTCACCACACACCGATACCCTATCTCACCACACACCGATACTCTAACTCACCACACCCCGATACCCTAACTCACCACACACCAATACCCTAACTCACCACACACCGACATCCTAACTCACCACACACCGATATCCTAACTCACCATACACCGATACTCTATCTAACCACACACCGATATCCTAACTAACCACACACCGATCCTCTAACTAACCACACACCGATATCCTAACTTACCACACACCGATACTCTAACTAACCGCACCCTGGTACCCTAACTCACCACACACCGATCCCCTAACTCACCACACACCGATACCCCAACTCACCACACACCGATACTCTAACAAACCACAAACCGATATCCTAACCTTACCACACACCGATACTCTAACTAACCGCACACTGGTCCCCTAACTCACCACACACCGATACCCAACCTCACCACACACCGAGCTACACCGGACCCTAACTCACCACAATCCGATACCCTAACTCATCACACCCCGAGATATACCGGACCCTAACTCACCACACACCGATATATACCGGAACCTTACTCACCACACACCGAGCTATACCGGACCACTACTCACCACACACCGAGCTATACCGGACCCCTACTCACCACACACCGAGCTACACCGGACCCTTACTCACCACACACCTAGCTATACCGGACCCCTACTCACCACACACCGAGCTATACCGGACCCCTACTCTACACACACCGATATATACCGGACCCCTACTCACCACACACCGATACCGGACCCTTACTCACCACACACCGAGCTATACCGGACCCTAACTCACCACACACCGATACCCTAACTCACCACACACCGAGCTACACCGGACCCTAACTCACCACAATCCGATACCCTAACTCATCACACACCGAGATATACCGGACCCTAACTCACCACACACCGATACCGGACCCCTACTCACCACACACCGAGCAATACCGGATCCTTACTCACCACACACCGATATATACCGGAACCTTACTCACCACACACCTAGCTATACCGGACCCCTACTCACCACACACTGAGCTATACCGGACCCCTACTCACCACACACCGAGCTATACCGGACCCCTACTCTACACACACCGATATATACCGGACCCCTACTCACCACACACCGATACCGGACCCTTACTCACCACACACCGAGCTATACCGGACCCTAACTCACCNACACCGATACCCTAACTCATTACACACCGAGATATACCGAACCCTTACTCACCACACAGATATATACCGGAACCTTACTCACCACACACCTAGCAATACCGGACCCCTACTCACCACACACCGAGCTATACCGGACCCTTACTCACCACACACCGATATATACCAACCACTACTCTCAGTCCTCTACCCCCGCTCTATACTCGATGAGCATCCTCACTTCACCTGATTCCCCCTGTCAAACGTATACCAACCAGAGACGTCCAACCCACCACTAAGGGTCTCACATCAATGTAATCAAACATCAAGTATTCATTATAACGACTTATATTGTAGAAGTGTCAGTTCCAGTAGAACTGGATATTATGTTAATGGATACCAGCGTGTGTTAAATTGCCTCAATATACGTACCAGCCCTCCCTCTGTCGAGCAGCACCCTATCCTTACAACACGCATTACTCTTCAATGACTTTCAATGCATAGTATTTGTTCTTGAAGATATTTCTTAAGATTGTATCTTTAAAACCTCACATTTTATATATTAAGTGCGTTTATATATTTCTTTTTATTACTCCGTCAAGGTAACGTCGGCTCTCGAGTATATAAGTGGTTCTGCTTTGATTTGATCTTGCCCCTAAGGATTGTCAGATTGTATACAGTCCCGTTCAGGTAAACTAATTAGTGTTTAATGCCGTAACCGAGCATTATTACCTATTTATAGCATTATAACAAAAGCTACGTTACCGGTGTTATTTGTAGGTATCACTGTTTCTATCGTTTTCATCGGTGTTATTTGTACCGAATATTTTTTCTCAAAATGTTACCGCTGTTCCCCTATATTAAATATTGTCACATGGTACTAGGGCTTTTCACAACATATCAAGGGCACTAAGACGCTTCACAGCTAGACACACACGTCAAGTCACTGGACACTAAGACGCTTCACAGCTAGACACACACGTCAAGTCACTGGACTCTAAGCCGCTTCACAGCTATAAACACATACAACATGTCATGAGACTTTTTAGACACTTCACAAGTAGACACACCGCACATGTGATGAGGCACTATGACCCTTCATAACTACACACACACACATGTCGTGGGCACTATGACGATTCATAAATAGACACTTACACGGCACGGGTTAATAAGACACTATAAACACATCTAGACACACACATATCACAGGACACTAAGACTCTCACATCTAGACATACACGTCACGGCTTAGTAAGACGCTTCACATCTAGACACACACACGTCACGGGTCAGTAAGACGTTAAACAGCTATAGACACACACGTCACGGGTCAGTAAGATGCTTCACATCTAGACACACACACGTCACGGGTCAGTAAGACGCTACACAGCTATAGACACACACACGTCACGGGTCAGTAAGACGCTACACAGCTATAGACATACACGTCACGGGTTAGTAAGACGCTTCACAGCTATAGACACACACACGTCACGGGTCAGTAAGACGCTACACAGCTATAGACACACACACGTCACGGGTCAGTAAGACGCTACACAGCTATAGACACACACGTCACGGGTCAGTAAGACGCTTCACATCTAGACACACACACGTCACGGGTTAGTAAGACGCTTCACATCTAGACACACACACGTCACGTGTCAGTAAGACGCTTCATATCTAGACACACAAGTTCAAGTTCAAGTTCAATTTGTTTATTTAAGTGTCACATATCACAATTACATTTATGTTCATTAATACATATAAAATACTTGTACAAAATATAAATCAATTTCATTGGTATATATAAAATACTTGCAGTTGGCTGTTTCCTAGAACTTAAAATAGTTTGTTTAACATAACAAAAAAACAAAAAAACACTTGTAATAGGGATCAATATCGACATTAGATTATTGTGAGACTACCCTTCTTATTATTATTAACATGTAGGTTGCAGTGACTCAAAGTGCGCTACCTTAGGGTTGGGGAGAGCCCTACCAGCGAAGACAGGTCGCTCTGCGCCACTGCAATCATACGATGTAACTTTAAAAATAAAATGTTTTTTTTATCAGTTTAAAAAAAGGAATAACAGGTTAAAAGTATTTGAGAAATCGATTGGCTCCATGCGTCACGGGTCATTAAGACGCTTCACATCTAGACACACACACGTCACGGGTTAGTAAGACGCATCACATCTAGACACACATACGTCACGGGTCAGTACGACGCTTCACATCTAGACACACACACGTCACGTGTCAGTAAGACGCTTCATATCTAGACACACATACGTCACGGGTCAGTAAGACGCTACGCAGCTATAGACCCACACGTCACGGGTCAGTAAGACGCTACACATCTAGACAAACACACGTGACGGACACTAAGACGCTTCACATCTAGACACACACACACCAATACACAACCTGTCACACTAAACCCGAGCTAGACCAATTAAATATCCTACTTGCATTGATATTAACCCTGACGAAACGTAATTGATTGGCTGATACAGATCAATAAATAAGATACAACTTATTGAGTATATGCACGACAACATAATTGTAGCTATTATAACGTAATTACAGCCATTATTATATATCTGAAATTCCTTGGAGATTACAAGGTTTCATAATTAAAAAAGTTATAGTGAATATTTGGCAGATTTATACTTGGTAACCCGACAGGTACAATTTTATATTCAGAAATACCGTTCCTAGCATTGTTGTTTATACACTATATGGTATCGGGTGGCCATTTTGAGGGTTGATTATTGTGTATTGGGGTTCAACAGCTATAGTCATCTGACGGCGATAATAATGACCAGACAATTTATCATTACTTCTCAATTAAAGCGTTAAGTTTATTGGTTTCAAATATCAATATTGAGTGATAATTAGTTTTGTGTCTGAGCGGGAAATAATAACTTTAGTACGCTTGTATTGCTAGAAGTATGCTGTACTGACTGACCTCTCTCCGTACATTGGCGACTCTACAGGCCCTGGGGACCCGGTGCGGTCACTAAGGACCGATCCCCGTCTCGACTCCGCCTTGTCAGCGGACGATCCTGCACGTGGTTCCCGCCCGATTTTGGAGACGGTGACCGTGATCTCATCCGGAATGTCCGTGAGGGAGGGGTAGATGTGTACCGTCCTGTAGTACGCATCTCCCTCCCTGATGTCCCCCAGGGACCCGGACACACGCATAGACGGACCGTTCAACGTCCCATCCTTTAGGGACACTCGTTTCTTCATATAATCTGCGGTCTTTTTGCTGGAATTTCCAGGGAGTAATGAATTCCTCCGACTCATGGTAACGGTAAACTTTTACATGCACAACACGTTAAAGAACTTTATTGTACACCGAACTTAAATTCTCGAAATCTTCAGTCCCTGTATACATATATTGCTACATACTTAAACAATATTTTTCAATCACTTTCCGATGAAATTTCCAGATATGAATCCGAATCACACTTTAGACCAGTAATGTACATTCCACATATATTCCACAGCTTGTTCTTAGACAAGATAAGGCACCGTACGAGCTATTTGTATCCGAAGTCAACATCGAGTATCAGGAGAATCGCTCGTGGAGCTATTTTACTGAAAGACAGAGTACATAGTGGACAGGTCTGTGTTTACACGGGCTGAGGCAAACATTTACTTTCACACGACCTAAGTTCTACTCTCCTAGTGATCAGTCATGATGGTCAGACGTCTCCAAGACACGATGTAAGATGTCCCTATCTTTCCGGCATACACTATCGGATGTACTTTTATTCTGTTTGGACAAAGGATTACTCCTCTAAACTCAATACCTCATGATCAGCACACCTTGGCGACTTACTAGATTATTTATTCATGCAGTTTTAACTAATTATATCCCAGAAGCCGTTTTGTCACCAACCTCCTTGACACCTCCGAGAAACTGGTGTGTGTATACGGACTATTAGCCCTCCGACCAAGTCCAAGTCAGAATCAATAGCGATATGGAATTAAATTCATATATCCGATTTATCCAAAGCGAAGAGAAAAACACATTCCAAATCTCGGTTCAGATGAGACACAAAGTATCCCAAACAGAGTTTGTAATCAATACACTGATTCCTGTATCACCAGATGGTTTTACAATTGCGTGAAGTTGCTCCAAAATGTCACAAGACATACACCCGTGTACTTTCCGTGAATGCTGAGGCGATGATACGATGTATGCGATGATTTGTTCGATGAGTTACGACTCGTCTGTACCTCTCCAGGTCTCGCTAAAAGCACCATTAACACACCCGGATTAGACACCGCTAGGCCGAGAGACAGCCAGCACTAATTATCTCTACATTTAGATGGCTACAGAACATTTAAATCGGCATTCCATGTTTATGTGACATCGAACACGCTGTAAGAGAATCTACGACATATAGGTTTTTGTCAATTAAACGCCGGGTCGATTTAAAAAAGTCTTCAACACTGCTATTATGTAGTAAGTGTTTGTCCAACGTTTCGGAGATCCGACAAATTAGGACAACAGCGTTCGCTCACCAGCCTATAAACTTGGTGATTGACATATCAGTAAATATACATCCGCGGGTTCGTTCTCATTTTGCTAATACCTCGGAGGCCCAACACCCATTCCTCACTTTTTTCTTACTTTTAGGTAACCCACCTGATCTCCTTGATGATCCGCGACAGAAGAGCGCGAGACACGTCCCCGGACCTACAGGTTGGTTCCAGTTCATGTGGCAGTGTTAATTTTATTATTCAACACGGATATTATCGACAAACTTACATTCATTATCAATTGCTAAAAATTGTTTGTTCACACGTTTGAAATTCAATTGATTTTACCTTGTAGCGTATACCGTGTTCGCTCTGTCAGGTGCGGTGTGGAGGATAGCCTTCCCGTCTATTGTAAAACACATTTATAGGTTTTAATGACATTTAAATGTGACTTGTGAAAAAATATTAATTCCATAGTTACTGTTTGTACCCGTGTCTGTGATACATGCTTTATAGGCAGATAGGTAGTTCACACCGGTATCTCAGTGGGTTATATAGACCAGTCCTGCCATCCGATACAACGCCCAGATCGATACAGATACACCGATATTTCCGTACAAATATTACTCGGAATATTCATTCCGATAAACGAGTATTTAAATGATAATAAAAAAGAAAAGTTTTTCTGTTCAGTTTTGAATTGAAAATTTCGAATTCAGGACCAATACACAAGTTTGTGAGCGACCAAACACCTTCGCGTACAAGATATCAAACTGGGACTAGCCATTCACTTTCACACCAATCGAAACACAAGCATGGACTTGAATTGTCTCATTAGAAACTGGTACTACATTTCCGAAACATTTATTATTCACAATATTGATTAGACTTTTTTTATCAAATCGACCGAAAAGTATGCTGTACGACGCTCTATTACAGACGTCTCAATATGTAAACAAACGTCCCGTTATAATAAAGAAATTATCCAAACCTGTCAATAGACCCCAATATACAAACGACTGTGACATATTAGTACGCAAACGCCCAGATATGTGAATAAACTTTCAATTATATAGACAATCGTCCAGGTATATAAACAAAATGTCTCAATATGAAAACAAATTCTCAATTATGTAAGTTAACGTGCAAATATGTAAACAAATGTCCCATTATAAAAGGGATGTAAACAAACATCCAAATAGCATCCCGATATGTAAACAAACGTACAAATTTGTAAACAAAGGTACCAATATTTAAATAAGCGTCTGAATATGTAAACGATGTCCTAATTTGTAAACAAACATCCAAATATGTAAACAAAAGTCCCGATATTTTAATAAGCGTCTGAAAACAAACGTCCAAATATGAAAACAAAAGTGCCAATATGAAACAACGTCCCAATATGTAAACGAAGGTCCAAATATATGTTAACAAACGTCCACTATGAAACAAAGTACCGATATGTAAACAAACGGTCCCAAATGTAAAGAAACGTCCCACAATGGCAAACCACTTTACTAACATGTATGTAAATAGACGTCCCACAATGGCAACCCACGTTACTAACATGTATGTCAAGAACCGTCCCACAATGGCAAACCCCGTTACTAACATGTATGTAAAGAAAGGTCCCACAATGGCAAACAACGTTACTAACATGTATGTAAATAAACGTCCCACAATGGCAAACAACGTTACTAACATGTATGTCAAGAACCGTCCCACAATGGCAAACCCCGTTAATAACATGTATGTAAATAAACGTCCCACAATGGCAACCCACGTTACTAACATGTATGTCAAGAACCGTCCCACAATGGCAAACCAAGTTACTAACATGTATGTAAAGAAAGGTCCCACAATGGCAAACAACGTTACTAACATGTATGTAAAGAAAGGTCCCACAATGGCAAACAACGTTACTAACATGTATGTCAAGAACCGTCCCACAATGGCAAACCAAGTTACTAACATGTATGTAAAGAAACGTCCCACCATGGCAAACCACGTTACTACCATGTATGTAAAGAAACGTCCCACCATGGCAAACCACGTTACTAGCATGTATGTAAATAGATGTCCCACAATTGCAAACCACGTTACTAACATGTATGTAAATAGATCTCCCACAATGGCAAACCACTTTACTAACATGTATGTAAAGAAAGGTCCCACAATGGCAAACAACGTTACTAACATGTATGTAAAGAGATGTCCCACAATGGCAAACAACGTTACTAACATGTATGTCAAGAACCGTCCCACAATGGCAAACCACGTTACTAACATGTATGTAAATAGATGTCCAAGAATGAAAAAAAAGTCTCATTGTATCAACAAACGTCCCAATATATAGACAAACGGCCCAATATGTAAACAAACGCCTTATTATTTTTTAATTGCGATACATAATAACATGCTCTAACAACACATATACACGATGTATTCGTCAGAAATACTATGTAATAAATGAATACATAGGTGTTCACATCTTCATGGAGGCAGAGACATCAAATAAACAAATATCAAAACGAGACGTTTCTTTCAGTGGGTGAATAAAACCGATTAACCATATCATATGATACCGTCACGTCCCCTATTTAGTGATTAAATGAAACTTGTGTCATAGTTTCTAGTGAAAAACAATTAAGCTACCATCCACGATGTGTTCATCTGCTGATCCTGTTTTGTGATTGCCGAATGTATATATATACTTTTTAATTTCATTTTAATAAGTTTATGAAAATAAAATGACCCTTTATAGCACGCGACGTCAGTATCCATTATCTTTGATAAAGGTTTTCTAGAATGATGGTTGTCGGTCAAATGAACCACATGAGTATAATACACAACAATTAGTCCAGATCTGGTCCGACAATAATTAAGATGGCGTTCCTGTCGTTATAGCGACACTGGTGTCTAATAAATGTCGAGAGACGGTAAAAGGATCAGTGATTTCTTTCGACATGAAAGCGAACTGACTTCCGGATAATAACAATATCTCACCTAGTCCTCATATTTCCCTCTTCATTAATACTGTAAGGGCGTCCGTTACAACCTCTGATTATAATTGTATTAGATTGTGTGTATTTCTATTACATTAATACATACACAATTGTAGGTACAGTAATCGATTGATCAGACTGCAATCAAGGTAGCTTACAAACAACTAAGTTCCCGGTATTTTGAATTGTTTGGAGAAATTATCTGAAAATAAGCGTTATAGTAATTGTTACAATAGTAAGGTGCACTTGCAGTATACATAAAGCTAGGCTCGTTTTTAAAGAAAATGATACAAAATTGTGTGATTAATCAAATGTAGCTTTACGCATTTACATATATCATTTTGTGGTGTCAACCAATATATGATTTATACATGTATATGCACTGCCCCTTGAAGAACTGTTAATCTGGTGAATTAAAACTTGAATCGCGAGTTCTATATCGCTATTACACCCCGCGCCGCAAACACTTTAAAAATAACTACAAAGTCCAAAGTACCACCGTAAGAACTTCATATAATGTAATATATAAAAAATACACATTCAGTGGAATAGTACATGTATATTTATACACGTCAAATGATTGTCTCGTGCTAAATTCATCTCCTAACATTGACTCAACAGATTATTTAAACATGGAAATATTGTATTTGTTTGTATATGTACTTCGGAACTGATTGATTTACACTTCAATTAACATACGTCAAATACCATTCTGTTTGATTTCACACGAAAATACTTTGTCTGCAGAATAATGATTGCTCCCCTGGAGCACCTATTTACGTCTAATAGCATGATCGTATTACATTATATGCGTTACTGCTGTCTAATTTTAGACATTTTGGCGCCAATATTTAAATGCATCGCTTGACTCGAAACACAGGTACTCGACTCGTCTGTCAATTCACCTATATAGGTGTATTATATTAACAGACGAGGCTAGTACCTGTGCTCGAAATAGATAATCTGAAGCCGATACCAATTAAAATTGCTGTCGAGTTGACTTGAAATATGTTGAAAATATGTTGATTTATTAAACCATACAAATGCGATTTTAACTTAAAAAAACATTCCTATTCAACATATATGGTGTAACTTACAGTTGGAAAGGTTTTATTTCAAGTAGATCGACATTCATGTTCCAAACGAATAAATAAGTTTTGGAACTTTAAGTAATATGTTAAGAATCGTATATCGTATGTTTATCAATATTTCATACTTTAAGAACTAAATGTAGGGCTTATGTCCTTTGGTATATCATGTAACTCATATATATGCTAAAATCGACAAAACACTCATTTTTATGTCCCAGTGATTCAGGATAAATATAACTTATTTAATAATAAACATTTAAATTCATAGTAACTCCATACAAGCTGAGCCCTACCCCACATTATTAAATGTGTTTACAAGATTTTAAAAGGATTAATTACTTATTAAGCAAATATATATTTATATGCAAATATACACTGCAGCCGAAAACCTTTGAAAAAGGGACCGACAGTCCTTAATTTCAAAAATGCCCTTTAAACTTCATGCATATGTTAAAAAAATAGTAATTTCTAAGTTAACCTGCT